TTCCAAATCTAGCCCACGTCCCAAGGTTCAAACATGCCGATATGGCTCAGTACTTTTGTCTGTACGAACTCTGGACGCGTCATCCGGCGTTCTTTTGTACACTTTTCCTGATTTGGTGCTTCGAGGTATCCTTTGTCGTTTCGATGGTTGGTAGCAGGTAGGAAGTCGTGTCAAAGTACGAGGTCAATGATACCATGGCGTGGGGATTGATGAACAAAACGGCTGCTCTGCCACACTATCGGTTAGTCCAACTCGTTTCTACCGACCATGTATGTCTCCGATATCAGCACTCGTAAAACAACCCCTCCAAACTGCAACCCTAACAATTCAGGTGCCTATCATCAATGATGCGATCGCCAAAACACCCCCTACCCACAGACCTCCGGCAAATATGGTTCGTCCGTTCGTAAGATTTTCTTGTCCCCTACTAGTGTTGGAGCCGCAAAACCACTTACTACGTTTCCCCATTGCTCCGTACCCCTCCGGACCCAGCAAAGTAGATTCTGACATAAGCACTTCAACAATCAACCCAACGGCAGCTAGCCCCCTCCCCGCGCAAGGGGCTACTTTGTGCGCCAGTCAATTGTTGTGCCTGTCCCTCGAAGACGTCGCTCTCGGTCCTTCTTTAGGAACAGTTCACATTTCGGGGGCTACGGAGTCCAAGATTTGGAGATTGGGGGTTACCTAGTGGTTGATATTACACCCGCTCTTGTCCGCTCGCTAATAGTCGCCTAGTGCAACAAAGGGTGTATGTAATAACCCTTCCCTGGTGGTCGTTCGACCTCGTGAATCTCTTGCGGGGGGCGGTTGAACCGTCCCCGTTTGTTGTGACGTGCGTGTGCGCTTGTAACCGTGATATCGCCCGAGAAAAAAAGTCCGCCTCGTTTTGTCAGGCTGGTTTACGAGGCTGTCCGGTCGAGATGGTGGGAATGCCCAGGTTTTATACGATTCGAGTGAAGGCATTGGCTGCTCGTTGACATGATGTGAGAAGGTCCCCATCGTGGTGAGAAAGAAAATGGTCCAAGGCAACGAGTTAGTCAGTCGCCTAGGAGAATAAGAAGATGGCCACGTAACTGGGCTAATTCTCAAACCTGGGATCGCTTTGCGAGAATGCCAAGAATGCCAGGGACTCTTGCTCGAAGCCGCATCTCAAAATATATCAACCGGTCTGAGGTTGTGACTGGCCGAAAAGGGACTCGACCGTTGCTCCTGCTTCATCCCAAACAGACGTCCGCAACAAATAGGTTTGCCTCAGACAGATTGATGCCCCTGTGGCTTTCCAGACGAATGGAGGTATTGGTGGGCAGGTGAGAAGGTGCCTGATGCGGTCAGCACTTTATATATGGAGCTGAAACGTGGGAAGGTATCTTCTTAGTCTTCAACGGCAGAAAAGCGGTCAAAATGATACACGGACGATACTTTCTCTACTAGCCCTACGAGCTTCCGTTCCAAGCCGGTGGAGAGACCTAACCGCGCCCTTGCACCGCCGTACGGCTACACCCTGGGTGAGATCTGAACCTGTCAGCACAGAATTACCCCGTACATGTGTCGTGCCTGCCAATTTCTTGAGCTCATTAGGAGACAGAGAGGCTCTTCATCACTAGCTGGAGATGTTACGACAGCATCGCTGAAGCATTTGCCATAGATCTTGGGAACTTTCGGAAGCTATCTGCCAAAATCATTGAAGCTGCAGTGTCATATGTTGCAGATGGATGTGTTCCAGATTGTCTGAGTTTAGTCATGTCTCGCTGAATGGCTTGATATCCGTTTGCTGTCGCTGAGGATAGGTAGGTAGCTTCGATATCGCCCTCGCATTGGACGGCATCTCCGCAGAACCATACTTCAGGCAAAAGAGATACTACTCGCTAGAGGAGACCCTGCGTAGTCCCCGACTGAGACACCATTATAGTCAAGTCCCCGGAGAAATTAGCGATAGGAATCGGCCGAGTGGATGAGGGCTGCTACCTCTCCCGCGTGGCACAGCTTCAGCATGAGGTTCGAGCGCCCTCCAATCATATCCATCTGTGACATGCGTTCTGTACGTTCCCGGCCTGCATTTTCCCCTCAGGAAACAGGGCCGCATGAAGCTGTAACCATCTCATGAACTGTTGAAACAAGCATCCTGTGGCGTCGGAGGGTATCTTGCGGGGACGGCTAGTAACAATTGAATGCAACGATCGGCAAGCGGGAATGGTCGGCGGCCGACCTGTGATACTCCAACGGGGCTGATCCGAATTCCTAACGTCTGGACTCGAGTTCCCTTTCTGGAAAGTGTTCCACATCTGGACTGAGCAGGATGTCTAGACACTCGGAGCCGGCCAAGAAGCCGTCGAGTCGGTGATCGGCTTGACTTGTCACTCGGGCGTCGGTAAAGGAACCATGTGATGCTATATCGGGAGAGATGAGTTCCTCCTGGAGGGAAATATGGGTGCCTGTGATCTCTAGCGTCAAGGATGTAGCAAAGTCGTCAACCTCGAGGCCCGTCAGTAAGCTGAAGCGAGGGTTGCCGAATCCTGTTGTGAATAACATCACATTGAACATCGTCGCTTTGCAAACAATTGGCAGCCACTACTCCAAACTGCATAGGGGTTCGGCGACCACAAGGCTGAGGGCCCTGGTTTAAGGTTAGGCATCGAGACAGATGCCAAGATGAAAGTGAAGCCAAGGCTCTGGGAAAAGCGGGAGATTGCGCCGCTAGGGAATGCTCCCGATTTTACGAGCCATTTAACCTGATTGGATAATGGCACAGAAAATAGCGGGTCTCTTCAACGACCTCCCACGCTTAATCTTCTGTAAAGGCGGTTTGATGGAAAACTGCAGGTGAAAGGAGCACCAAACTTGACCCAGACAGCCTTCCAAGTTGTGATGCCGTGACCAAAACGAAGGATCAAAAGAGTTGTGGACTCGCCGGCCAGCGTAGTGGCCAAGCAGTATGATCGGACGATGGACACGATCTCAAACAAATGGCCGTGAGGACGAAGGCTGAAAGGGCGATGACTGATCACGACCGCACGCGCGGGGGCCGAAGAGGAAAAACACTAATGTACAGTACTTTGTAGCGGGGGTCGATGCGGGTCCTGGTTAGTTCTCTTTAGGAAAATCAATCGTCGGCGATGATTGAATGCGGGGCGACGGGAGAGAGCTTGGTGATGGAGCCAGGGCAAGATTGAAACGATGATACCCGTCTGCCGTCGAGACCATCGACACTTCAAAACCAGGCAGCAGAATTCGGCCGATCAGGACTGGCTGCACGGACGCCACATCCACTACCCTGGATGTGCCAAGAGGCCACCAGACACAAAACCTTAATCCAATTACCCCCAGTCCTCTCAGCCAATCACTGATCGACAAGGTGCTTTGTCAGGACTCTATTTCTGGGCCTGCCTCTTATCAAGCACAGGGAAGCACGTGAGTCCCGCTGAGGCCGTCAACCTCACCCTCCGAATGTAAAATGTAAAACAAGCAGTTGCAACACTGCGATACCGGCCACCTCACCTAGCCCGATGCTCCTGAGATCCTGCGACTTCATTACTGAATGCCATTTCTTGGAAGCTTGTAGAGTCGAGAAACAAGAAGATCGACTAAACCACCCTTCGACACTGGCCCAGAGAATCGGTCCCAATCACGCAACCACCGGGCCCGACATATGCACAGACGGGCCAAGATTTTTTCTCGAAGCTGGCCTGTGTCACCGAGGGTTTGCGCCGCAAAACGACAGTGTGATCTCCAGCTGCACCATGAGGCTGCAAGCCGCCCCCAGAGATGAGTTCGAGAGGAAGCTCCGGGTTGTCGGCGAGGGACTCATGAGAGAACCACCGAGTCTGCGAGCCTAGTTACAAGGCTAGATAGATTTGAATCATCCTCACTTGACATTTCTGTCACTGCCACATCTGAAGTCTCCGGGGAAGGACCGGTGGATGTTGACTGAGATGGCTGTTTCTCTTTAGGATTGCCCTAAAAGAGACTAGCGCATAGCAACCCAGCCCTACGGTGGTGGAGAGATCCGGGGACGTGAGCTTGGGCCAACCGGCGACGGGATCTTGACCAATAAGAACGCGAGTTTGAGGGGAAGCATTTTCGGAAGACAAGGGACAGGGCACTTGGCTTGTCATTGGTGGCCCACTCACCGCCAGGCCCCCGAAAATAACCCTGGACGCTGCTTTTGCGGTCCTTTGCAGCCACCACCCACCACAACTGGGCTAAATGCGCTATCAGGGCTAATTTTACCCACGCCAACCCACGACACAGAGATTTACGGCTGCCTGAAAACGGGGGGGGGGGGGAGGGGATTGATTGCTCAAACTCCACCGTTTCTTCTCTCTTGGTGCCCGTTGCATTCCACCCAGCTGTTGAGGTGCCTCGTAAACTGGAGCGGGCATGCGGAAGACCCCGCTGAACCTCTTCTTTCTCCCTTCCAGGTTCTCTTTTCTCTACATGTGAATGTGTTTCTTCAGGTATCGAGTGTGGCCCAGGATCCCTAGGTTGCAAGATGAGCATCAGCTAGGAACAAACCGCGCTTCTCTGCCCCATGAAGCTTTTCCTCTCCTCAACCTCAGAGCTCAGTACCGGCCCAGTGGACGGAATGGAGGGAAGGGGAGAGGAGGGGGTGTGCAACACCACACCAGGCTTTTGGTACGTACCTCCACGGTCATGAAATGCTCGAAGTACCCAGGTACATCTTCAACAACCAACACGCCCAGTTCCATGCATGGCCCCATATTCACCCCCGGTCCAAGACACGACGACCCATGAACCCAAGAATCCTTGCGGGTGGGTCTGTAGCGGGTACCTCACAACCAGGCTGCAGAATAACCAGCAAGAGTGTCCAAGGATACTTACCAGCCAATTTGCCGTAGACCATCCATGGAATCCCTGCATGTGGGCTTGTGAGTACCTCGACTTGGTGAATCTTCTTGGGCCAGCTCTTAAAGACTGATCTCCCCCTCCCTCCGACGTAGAGATAGACGTTTGACGCCGCACCCACCAACTTGGATATATAGTTCGTCCCATCCTCTCGGATCTGGCACACGGTTCTCATCTCACCTTACCTCACCACTTTACTTCTTCTCATCCCAAACCTTACCTGGCTTTACAAGACGCCGTTCACCATGGCCAGCATGTTCCAGCTCAACCCGCACACATATACCCATTACCAGCAGGCCCCAATGGCGCCCGCAAGACAATTCTCGCACGGCACCAGCAGCGCCTTCAGCCCCTCAGCCAACCCCGACGAGGACTGGACCAAGATCTCAGACCTTGCCGAGAGGAGGAGGATACAGAACCGCATTGCCCAGCGCAACTATCGTACGTAGCCTCATGGGACGACACTCCAAGTGCAAACACTAAACAGCTGGGTACAGGCAAGAAGTTGAAGAAGCGCATGGAAGAGCTGGAGCGCAAGGCCGGAGTATCAGACGAATCCCCCTCTCCCGGCAGTGAGAAGACAAGCCCAGCACCCAAGCCTGCGAAGCGCGCCCCAGCGACCAAGGCACGGAAGCAATCGCCACCTGCCACCGGCAGACAGGTTGTCGCTCCTCACTTCACAACTCCATCCTATGGACAGCACGATCAGTACCTCTTCAGCCACAGCTACGAGGATGACAGAGATCGATCCACCAGCCCAGTGGGCCCCTACTACCAGACTGGCTACCCTGTTCCTACCAGCGACGAGATGTTCACTCCCTACAACTTCCACCAAATGCCCCAAGATCCAGTCGTAACACTCGCCGAGTACTCAAACACCATTTCTCTGCCATCCATGCAAGCCCTGGATAGCTACAACAACGGCTTCTTCCCAGGGATGCCCATGCACGGAGGCCACCCTCCTCCCTTCGAGCATCTGACCCCGAATGTGAGTGCCTCTCGGAACCAAGCTACTACACCTCCTCCACATCTTCCTCCTCTTCAAAACTTTCATCGTGGCCCGTAAAAACTCTCAAGAAGATCACCGTTGCTGATGGGTGCCTGACACAGACTCCGCCTCTGTCACACTCTCTCGAACACTCGGCGGCCTGCTCGGACTCTGGTAGCTACACCGAGTACCCGAAGACGCCGCTGTCCATGCCTGGCTCGCCTGGTTATGGTCCACAGCAATAAGCATGGATTTTTTGTTTCGCTTGGAGATTGTTTGGACACCAAGGGCAAGGGAAAATAGGGATACAAGAGAGGGACGCCTCAAGGCAAAGGATATTCACAACACATATATACGCAACCGCCAACATAAAAAACAACAATCACCACACAACAACAGATTATCGGTACAACTATGCCAGTACTGGCGTGGTGGGGAAAGGCCACCACTCTCAGGAGGGGTCGGCATCCCGTACGCAACGAATTGATCGGCATTTTCACGGGGTTCAGGGACTTGGGGATATCAGGGACAGCATTCATCAGGGCCAGGCTGGTTGGGAGGGACTCTCTGCTTTTTGAGGTGTTTTCTGGGAGGAAAGCACGTGCTTGCCCGCAGCGTTTTTGTGGCAGCGACTTCTACGTTGCTCTTTTCTTGTAGCCTCTTATCAGGATTTTGGATTGCAAGTCCAAGTCTTCTCACATTTTGAAGAATCAACAAAATTGTTAAAATACCACACTTCTTCCCCCCCAATGAGTGATGATGGATCTTGGCGGAGGAGCTAGAAGTCCAAGTTAAACTGCTGACTGTGTCAGCATTCTCTGCATCAGTGCTTACATCTTTGCCTTGTCGTTGCGGAGCTCAACGGCTACCCGCCCGCGCGGAAAAGCGGACACTAGTGTTAAGACGATGACATTTAATGAGACTAGAGTCCGAATTTCTGCCGGATTTGACAAATGGTAGATATCGTGATCATGGACGATGGTGTTGTGTTGATGACAATTCAGTTTCTGACAAATCCAACACTCACCGTTTCTATCCCACATTCACAATCATTCATCTTTTTCCACCTCGCAAAAGTTTGCGTTCTCCCAACCATGATGCCGACGCCAAAAAGCCTACCAAAACGGCCAACTGTACCAAACAACCCACCGCCCCGGACACCCCAGACTCGTGCTCCCCGCGGCGCACAAACGTCCACTTGGAGAATGCCTCCAAATCCAGTTATATCCCGTCTCTCTCTCTCTCAAGCCCCACAACTCAGAACTCCAGGTAGGTACTCGGCTATGCTACGCCTCTCGCACCAGGCCTTCGCCTGATCTCGCAAAGCTACCACCCTCCGGCTCTCCTGCAAAAATCACAACGAACGTGCGAAAACACCCGGTTCAGAATACCACCCTCAAGTTGTGGGGCGAATGCACCAACCAGCCTTACGAATATTTACCCATCCAAGCCTAGCCTCGGCCGGCGCCGGCGGCAACGAAAAAGAAGCTGCGGCGCAGGCTTCACCAGTGTAGACAACCCTCAAAAGTGGGGATGGACGTCAAATTCCGAGTTTGATCGGAGAGAAAGTGGGGAGGAATCTGGGTATCTTGTCTCTGCCAGCCAGCCTGCTGCCCGAAGAAGAGAATACCGAGATACACCGGCTCCCTTCTCGTCCCCTCCCCATCTCGCAAATGTTTTAAAAGCAGCACGACGACCATCTTCGATTCTTGCGGCCCAAAAATACAGGCCAGGGGCTCGCCTCTCTGAGCAGAAACCCTTTTGGGAAAGGTATCAAAAAAGCACCACCACCCTACGGAGAAAACTCCACACGGAACAGCGAGGCTCGGCCTTCCGCTTAAATAACCCAACGGCACAGCGAGAACGGACGAAGCGGAGCGGTTTTAGGTGGGCGAGTGTGGGGGCCGACGGCGCCGAACCAGAGCTGAAGCCTTGCCGCCCGGCGTACGATTCCAGGGATATTCTATCGGGTCTTCCATTTTCGCCTGTGCCATGCCTGTGCAGTAAGTGGGTGAAAAAAGGCCGATCCTGGTTTGGATGAAAAAAGGGCGTGAAGGAAGCTAAGAAAACGGTTCAATGTTGGGATGGTTTCCTGCTCCTGGAAACGGTGCCTGATAAATGAGATCTGATAGACATCAAGATACTCGTTGGGTAGAAAAGGGCCTTAATACAGTCTGCTATGCTGTGCGACTTGTCAAGTATAGATAATAATATACCTGGGAAAATACCAACAGAATGCAGTTGGTCGAGTCCGAAATGGTTGTTGTGGAACTGGGCGTTGGGACAGTTGGAGGAGACGTTACCAGGTTCTGGAACACAAGGACTCACAAGACCCAGAACCACTGCACGATATCTCTGTCCCCTGTGTTCCTCGGAAGTTTGCGGTTAAGTTTGAAGGGGGGGAGGGGGCGGTCCTTTGAACGAGAACTTCTCGGCCTGGATGATACTACGTCGTCGTCCTTCACCGTGGATTCGGCCGAGTCCAAGTTGATGGGGTGTTCAGACATGGAACGTGCTCTCTCTCGCACTGAAGACCCTTGAAGTGAAGATGAACCCTCGGACCTAACAGACACTGGGGGCTCTGATTGGTCAAAGTTTATTCCCGTTTTGACCATCGTTTTTCCGTCACACCTCCACTCACCAATTACATGCAGCTTCGTGACCTCGAACAAACCGCAAGTTGGGAATGGGATTCTGGTCCTTGAGGATATGGAGATTCCCGGTTGAACCACGTCTTTCCTGCGGCCCTCTCTCTCCATGGCCAACAACACAGCACATGAACAACACACGGTCCTGATCGCATGGTTAAGTCCGCTCGCATATCCACAGTCCACGGTCCTATCTTTCCGAGTCGACTGGCTGCGTCGTCACCCCCAAACTCCGTGTGTTGCTCCCCGTCTCTGGTGCTCCCAACAACCAACACAACCATGCCCAGAATGTACCCTCTTTCTGCCAACGTGCAGCTGATCCGGCACATGTACTCGCCGTAGGTATGTATGTACCGTCGTTGCAGCTTCTGACCTGCTGGGCGGTAGCGGCACCCGAAAAAGAGTCTCGAATGTTTCAGCCAAAATCCCAACGGCGTTTTCCACTCTGGCTTGATCCACACCGCCAAACACCGTAGGGAATGTCCTCAAACACTTCATTTGAGCAGACCGAGAAATACTCGAATCTTGTATCTGTAACAGGACACCGTCGGCACCTCGTGCCATCCTTCCGACGGCTTGGAGAAGGATTGGCCGCGAGGCCACAGCCAGGGCCAAAGTCCGAGCGAGGTTCTTTTTCGTTCCCTGGAAAGATCTCTGCATCGCCATTTTCACCCCCTGGTATCCCCGTGGTATCCCTCTACTTGCGAAATAAATCCACTTCAGATGGCCCGAATGTGGGGACATGGCCTTCCTTCCGCGGGTCCCCAGCCGCCATTGGTCAAGGGCCTTTTCAGAGTTCTGTGATCATCACTTTATTCCGACCGTCTATGTGTGTCAAGGAGACCAGGGGGTGGTTGTCGTTGGGGGATGAAAGTCGCAACAACAAAAACAACAACAACAACAACTGTCACATTACACAGCCTGAGGACGACGCGTATAGTACTGTGCAACTCGTGGGGTGAGTGGCATTGACGAAAGGGCAATGCAGATAACCGGATGTTGTCATTTGCCTTGTTTAGGAAGGACTGCCATCGTTCGAAGCGGTGTGTCTACCAATTTCTTCTTCGTGGCCTGTTCCCTTTCGGTTTCGGTTTCCAAGGTCTGAAGCTGCTTTGGCACAACATCTGCACTCCTATTCAGCAGCAATGCTTCGCCAGTCAAAGTCTTGCAACCAGTGGCTCGCTCGTATTGTGCGATCACCTTCATACCTTCATATTACGGCCAGCTGGATGGCCTCAAATCCCAGCGGAAATCATCGCGAGGGCGGTGTTTCGTGCCTCATCTGATCAGGCACACCTCGAGGTTGTGAGCATCGTTCGGTCCCAATCCTTCATTCACCCAATACCGTGGGAGTCCTCCGATAAGCCACTGCCACAGATCTTATCGACAGTGAGATGTCAGGCCCCACATTTTGCCTGCCAAGTGCTGACATGGAGAAGCCGTTCAACGGTGCAGTCTGACATCTTGGAACATGAGACTCAGCCCTATGAGAAGGAGAATGAGGGAATGATCCAATAGGAGAACGTACCTGGTCGACATCAGTCAAACTGACAGACGGCAAGCCCCCTGTCCTGCTGAAAGACATGCTGCGGGAAAGTAATGGGGAGACGCATGTCAGACTTTTACAGCCTTGTCACATGATTTTGGCTCTTTCCAGTCTCTGACGTCGGTTGCTCTTCTGCTTTGCTCTCCTTGTATGCCCTACCCAATGAAGGCATTTCGCATTTTGGCCTGTAATATCGAGCATCAGTAGAGACCTTGAGACGCTTGCCGTGAAATGACTCGGAGGGAGCTCAAGTAGCAGATACTTCACCGTTCTGGCATCATCATGGAAGGGTTCGGTCGACAAGGCGGATGCTTACCAATGCTGAGTACGCACATGCATGAACAATGAGGAGGTGGACGGGAAAAGGAACAAGACGAATGAACGTGGATAGAGGGATGGGCGTGGGAGGACGCAAAGACACGGATGGAATGGTGGGCGGGTGGAAAAGTAGACCTGGATGGGTGTGAGTGGGCTGGCATGGATGAGGCTCACTATCAACGGGGGGGTAAACAAGCTGGACAAATCATGAACGCGGGCAAATTACATCTGACACGGCATCAGCATCGTCAAGGAATGGAAGTGGGTTCAGCGGATCGAGTGGAAACGGGCGGAAATGGCAAGTCCATGTCACTGAGTCACTCACAAGTCAACCTCATCGGCCCTTCAGGGGTCAAATAAGTTGGACATGGTGACGTGACGTCGGGCGGGTGGGTGGAAATCGTTTATTCGGCCGTGGGATTCGGATGGTCAGTCATGTCCGCAATCTCGGCATCGTCGAATCAGAGCAACCAAAAGAACTATGAAGCAATGCCAGTCGAACAATCTCCACATCGTGATGTAGGCAGAAATACATCCGGTCGATGGTCATTCGATCTCAAGTCACCGAAACAGAAAGGAAGGTTGTGGGGGCGTTTATGAGATGGGCCGGCAGACAATGGTTCCGGGCTGGATATAGCACGAGAGCTGTTAAGTTGACATACAACTGGGTTTGACCGGTGTCGATCGGATGGAGAATTGTCAGGGCAGGACTGGGCTGGCAAAAAACGTGTCA